TAACTTTTAAAATTTACCGGGTTTTAAATACAGCTAAAATCACGTTTCCATGGTTACAGAATATTCTACTCAAATTGAACACGGGGTGTCTAGATTTTCCTTATGACAGTATCATTGTATCAGTTATTAGCTACATTTTGGTAAGGGTGAGGATGTATTTTACACTGAAAACCTGACGTCGGTTGAATGGATGTCGTCTGAATTTAAAAAATATATATATAAACACATACATATGTTCTCTTATTTATTTAATTTTATTTCCTAGCAGTTCACAGACATGAAAAATCAAAATCAAAGAACTGACGCCAAAGTCTGGACTTCTCATAAAAAACTGTTGATTCACTAAATTCACTTAATCCAACCCAACATCATGCCCTTTAAAAATGTTCAAATTTTTTCACACCTTTTGCTCACCTCTTGTAAATGAGGTTTAGGCCCACCAGCTGACAGAGCGTTTTGGAGATATATATTTTTTTTATTACTGGTTGACTGGCTTTGAGCCAGCCATATCAAAGACAAATTGGCTTCATTTGAATCCTGTCTTCTTCGTTATCGTTTCTTTTTTTTCAAAAATTATTGAAATTATGCTATTGTTATTTTTTATTTTCTGAAAACTCCCCGGGGACCAAAAGAGTCACCCGGTGTGGACCGCCGTCACCTAAGCTACCCCACCAACCAACCCTTAACTACACCACCGACCTTTTCTATTTCTTTCTTCCTTTAATTATATCTCCGCTTTTTTCTTGCTTTTCCTTATTTTTATTCGCCATTTTCTTTTCTTTTCTTTTCATCTTACGTTTACAATATTTTAGTTAGCCTTTTAACTTACTTTCTTTGCATATTTTAAGTCGCTTTATTTCTTTTCTTTCTTTCTCCCGATTTATTGCCCTCTATTATTTTAATCCAGCTATTTAAATTTTCTGATTGTTGATTAATTGATTGATTCGTTTTCTCCGGCTTATCAACCCTTTGCAGTTTATTTAAAGATATTTTAGATTGTTAGAATTTATTTTTTTAAGATCATCATCATTCGACCGTAGAACGATCTTTTTGCTGTATAGTATGTGCTACAACAGGGCTACATACAGTTTGAATTCAGAGTTACTTTCTCCTAGACTGTCTGTCCTGTTATTTACCCATAGCTGGTTGAAGAAAAACAGGATTTATGCCTTTCCCAAGAGCATTAGTACATAAGTGAATGCAATGGATCCGACTGGAATTCGAACTCGGCTCTCCGATTCCTCAATCCATGCTGCTATCCATTACTGCACCTTGCCTCCTTTTTAAGATAGTAATAGATTAGTGATGCAAGTCTTACTAATTAGCCCATAGCTGAGGGGTTAAGAGATGGATTCATATCTTTCATAAGGGTATTTTCGTCATGAACCGAACATAAGCAACAAATAAAATAGATAGATAGGAACAAATGGAGATAGATAGGTATGAAGAAATTGTGATAGATAGATAGATAGATAGATAGATAGATAGATAGATAGATAATTAGCCCATAGCTGAGGGCTTAAGAGATGGATTCGTATCTTTACTAAGAGTATTTTCATGTAAGTGAATATAACTAACTCAATGAGAATTGGAACTCAGCTCTCCGATTAACAATTCCGTGTCATTATCCATTACACCACCTGCACATCCAAGCTAACAGCACATGGTATTTCTAAGCGGTCACCAATCGAGGTACTAACTAACCAGGCTCAACGTTGCTTAATTTCGGTGGTTGTCAGGGACTGTCGATTTTCGCTATTCCCAATTCGCCTTCGGATTCCCGTGTCGCACTTCCCTTCTCTTTTAATATGCTTCCAAGATATCTATCTCGTTTGATTTCGGTATCTCCAGTCTGAACTTTGCATGTTGTTTTTTTTTGGTTTTTTTTTTTTGGTGGAGGAGGGGAGCTAAGAAACTGAAAACTTTTGTTAGAAACAAAGAAACGAGTACAGAACTGTTACGTAATATCATTGCTCCTATATGATGGCAATCAATTCTGGACATTCTCCTCACAAATGAAGAACAGATTTGAAGCAACAGAAAGGATGCTGAGAATTCTATGAACCGAACATGAGCAACAAATGAAATAGATAGTTATATATATATATATATATATATATATATATATATATATAGATAGATAGATAGATAGATAGATAGATAGATAGATAAGAACAAACAGAGATAGTTAGGTATGAAGAAACTGAGATAGATAGATAGATAGATAGATAGATAGATAGATAGATAGATAGAGAGATAGATAGATAGATAGATAGGAACAAATGGTATGAGACAGGTATGAAGAAACTGTGATAGATAGATAGATAGATAGATAGATAGATAGATAGATAGATAGATAGATAGGAACAAATGGGATAGGTATGAAGAAACTGTGATAGATAGATAGATAGGAACAAATGAAGATAGTTATGAACAAACTGCGATAGATAGATAGATAGATAGATAGATAGATAGATAGATAGGAACAAATGGTATGAGACAGGTATGAAGAAACTGTGATAGATAGATAGATAGATAGATAGATAGATAGGAACAAATGGAGATAGATAGATATGAACAAAGGACACTGAAGAGGGAATCAACGGAAACCGTTGTCAGAGCGTCAAAGTTGTCGCCAAGAGCATGGAAATGTCGACATATACGGCTAGAAAGACTCTGAAAGAGCTAGGCTATCAAAGAAGTGTTGCAAGAAAGAAGCCCTTGATTTCAGAGGTTAACAGGAACAGGCGTATCGATTGGACGAGAGAATTTGAGAACAAAGATTATGAATTTTGTCAGTCTGTAATTTAGTCAGATGAAGGTAATTCTGCCAATATTCGAATTCGAGATTGGTTTATGTTTGAATAAATCAGAATGAGACTTGGAACACTGAATGTCTTCAGGTGACCGTGAAACCTGGGGGGATTGGAGTAATGGTATGTGTCGCTGTCTGATCTGGTCTAGAGGGAAATCTTAGCGGATTCTTTTTGACGAGCGGTTGAATGGTGCAAAATATTGTCAAATATTAGAGAAAGGACTATTCCCACTATTTGAAACCAATCAGATTGACAAGTATGTCTATCTTTTTTCAAGAAGATGGAGTGCCATGTCAACGAGCAAAGTAGCAAAGACCTGGAACGAATTGCAAGGAATCATGTCACTGCCATGGGTAACTCAAAGTTCTGACATGAATCTAATAGAACACGTTTGGGAGCACCTTGACAGAAGACTTTGAGAACGTGCAACCAAAATCACGTCAGTGGCAACACTTAAAGAAACATTGCTAAAGGACTGGCAAAATATGGCTCAGACAATTTTTGATAACTTGATCAAATCGATGAAAAATCGAATACAAGCACTGAAACTCGCAAATGAAGGACATGCCTTATACTAATTCCAAATACTGTTTATTTATGTTGGATAGGGATTACGTAATTAAATTTTGAAATTTGATGTAGTTTATTTCTCGTGGCTAAAATCTTTTCTTCGGCCACTCTATATTCAGAATCAAATTATCAACAATCGTCTGATCCATATTTTGCCACTCCTTTAGCAATGTTTCTTTGAGGGTGGCCGCTGACGTGATTTTGGTTGCACGCTCTCGAAGTTTTGGGTCAAGGTGCTCCCAAACTCGATATGTTTCGGGGCGGATACGCTCAAATCTGGGGCAGATGCTAAAAATTCTAGGAAAGAGACATACTAGTACTCTGCTAAGCAGTGAGTCCATCGCTAGTCTAAATTTCTTTCTTTGGGCCACCGATGAGTTCACTGCTCATGGAGTATTTTTTAGAATTTTTAGAATCTGGCCCACCTTTCAGCGTATTCTCCCAAAAAGAACGTAATATATTTCCGATACGTTGAATATGCTCTGTTAATATACCTACATGACACACGGCTATCAGAGATCGTTGATAGACTAAACAGGATAGTACATAAAATAAATTTCACCTACGAAACAGAACAAAACTGCCATTTATCATATCTCGACATAACAGATAAAGTATGTAAGGTGTTGTTGTGAGTGAAAAGAAAAAAAGCGGGAAAAGTCGGAAATGATGGGGTGGCGATGGTGGTGTCGGTTCAGCGGGGTGGTGTTGGTGAGGGTAGATATATCAGCTATTTAAAAAATGCGGTTATTTATGTGATTTGAGCACCAATGATTTTACAACTCGTTCACAACAAAAAGAAAGCTATCATGTGATTTCACCAATGTTTCTTTTTTTTTTATTTAAACTTTTCTCTATGCAAAATGATTCTTCTTGCTATGCCGTGCCGTAGGCGACATAGGCTCGCCATAACTTTCTGTCCCTTGTAGCTCCTAATAAATTTTTGTCTTTCTGTTATTTCATATTAACTCTTTTCCGTCTTCCATTTCTTCAAGCTCACTATATATGTCACGAGTTGTTTTTCTCTGTCTCTCTTGCCGTCAGTGTTCCCTGTGAGTGTCAGATTTTCCAAGTCCTCTTTCCTCACTATGTGCGCTAGAAACCGCAACCTGACGTTAAATTTGTTTCCTTTTCGCTTCTGTTTTCGGTAAATCTTCCTCGTTGCTCAGCTGTTCAACCAATGATATCCTCAGCATCCTTCTGTAGAAACGCATTTCTGTGCTTCAAGTATTGGATGCAAATTGTCAGTTTATATTCAAGGTAGATGCAATGTACTTGAACGATGAACAGACAAATTTATTTTTTCTCTTCTATCTTGCTTGAATGTTATTTCTTATTGAATCAAGATGGCGCCTTGAAACACCAGTTGTTTTAAACAATACACTAGAAGTCTAGACAGAAAAAGACGCTTAAATCTGGTAGATTTAATGATAGCTGGTCTATGGCCGGAGCATTAAAGCATTTTTACAGACACATCAATGCTACGTATTCTATGTCAAAGAAGAAACACCCGTCTTCCAAATGCCCTCGGCCGGGAAGGAATCTCTTCTGGATAGGACAAGAAGATTCAAGGAAAACATTCAGGGAGTCCTTTAAAAGTATCGGCCTACCCATCACCGCTTTTGAAGAACAGATATGGTGATATGTCTTCTCTCAAACAATCTCCATTCGAAAGGTAGACAGCAGAGTTCACGATGGAGAGATGAACTGTAGAAGCAGAATTTTTTGTCACCTGCGGGTCGAACCGGACTTCGGTACATCTGTAACAGATATATTATGTACTCTTCAATGAAAACATAGTACTAAACACACACACACAAACACACACACACACATATATATATATATATATATATTGGGTTGAAAATTTCAGGATGAAATGACCCATGAAGGATTTGGTCTGCCATTAAACAGACAAATCAGTTACCCACAATACATAAGTAGACTTCGGTATTTAAACGACTTTTATTGATACCGAGGTTTCCACCAGATGACCATGAAATATACCCATACCTTTACACCACCATCACTAGCAGTCTGATCCATTGATAAACAGAAGAATGGATTAGAATCTAATCCTTACTTTCGGATTGTTTACGCCAAATTCCGATTCCACGATCCCAGTATCCTAGTCGAGGCTATATCAATCGTTTTTTTTTTTTCTAAACTTCTGTTGTTGAATTGGTGTTATCCTTAACGAATTGTAGCCAGGGTTTCTTGTTCCTAACAGCCATTTCACCTGGAGGGATTTTTTGCTGCTGTAGCTCATCTGCTTCAAGGTTCGATGTATTTTACTTTTATGTATACGTCCCTTATAAAACCTGGTTATCGAAGTTACTACTGTTTTTCTATCAGCTTGATCCAGTCTTACCATTGTCGTCCGACCTCTTTCATCGACACTTCCGCCTAAAGAATTGCCTCTCACTATTTTTTCTGAGATTGTTGTGCGCAAAAATTCTAAGAAATCGCCTGTTTTTGAAATGTTCTTTATTCAAAGCAACAAGTTGTTTAATGGGTCTGGAGTGATATAAAGCAAAAATACATTTGTTTTATGCATTGTTAATCACACTTAAATTTTATTTAATTTTTTTTCTTCAGTAGGAGTTGACAGATTCGCCTATCATACAGTTCCAACATCTGTCCAGTGTTTAGAACAGAAGTAAAAGCTTATCCCTTGTTTCCTCTTCAAGATAGGATTTCCAGTTCCTTCTAAAGTCTTTTTATTTCTTTTTCAACCCTAGTATCCCCTTGCATCTTAGTGACATTATCGCCTTGCTCTGGAGTGAATTGATTAAAAAATACTGAGGAGTCGTAACGGTGAAAGTCATTTACCCTCCCAAAGCCAAAATTATTATTTCCTGAATCGGCCCGGTCTGTATGCTTTGCGAGTCGATCAAGTCAGCATGTATATCTTTTTAGTGATCCAACCTAACGAGCATTGACAGGTGTACCCAAACGTGATATTTACGCGCTAAGAATGCTTTGGCCGCTGAGATGTGAGAGTCCAAGAAGATTTTACCAGCCACCAAACTCGACACGTCGGTTACACACAAATCTAACCAGCATTTAGGTATGTTTTACTCATTTGTAGCTTCTGAAAGTGCATAGGAATAGAGAAAAAATGCCTTTAAGAGACTAAGCAATATATTAAGAGAGGAGAAAACGTCTTAAGAAACAAAGAAAAAGGTGTAAACTGGTATATAATATCGAATCTTCCATATGACAATGAATATTGAACAATCTCATAAATAAATAAGAGACTAAAAGCGACAGGGTTATATATATTTCTTTACAACAAGGTCCAACTTGTACAAGGCCTGGAGTAGAGGGTTAGGTTAAGGGTTAGTTAATATGGGTAGAACGGTAAGATAAGAGTGAACTCTAGACTTGAACAGGCTAAGATTGTAGTAATCGGGGAAACATCCTCTGAGGAGTTTGTTCCACAGGGCAGTGGTGCACATAAAGAAGCTGTCCAAGCGGAACTTACTTCTCGCCAATAGAGTACGGAGGGAATATGGGTGCTTTGATACTATGTAAGGAACATGCCGGGTCCTGTCTGTGAAAGTTAAACCTGGCGAAACCAAGGAATGTAGTTCGTCCGAGCACTTTTTATGGTAGTAGCGATAGAGGAGTGAGAGATTCGCAACATCGCGCCTGGGAGAGAGAGGTTGGAGGGTGGAAAATAATTCTTTTCAACAAAGATTCGGAGACTGGAAAATGAGGACAGGGCAGTTCCCGCCAAAGCATGGCAAGAGTACTCCATATTCGTCCTGATTTGGGTCTTATAAATATAGAGCATTGCTTGAGGAGTCGGATACTTATTGGAGCGGTACTTGAGCTGATCATTTTACCTGCAGCTTTAACGATGTACACACACACACACAAACATATATATATATATATATATATATATATATATATATATATATATATATGTGGAAATTTGCTTGAAACTGAGTCAGATTGTGACACAAGGTCAGTTTTTAACGTGGGGACCCGAGTGTTTATTTTTCACTCAGGCCGCTGGTCTAAGCTGGTCTATGCTGGTCATAGCTTGTCCAAGCTGGTCAGAGCTGGTCTACGCTAGTCATAGCTGGTCTTGGCTTGTCATAGCTGGTCCAAACTTGTCAGAACCGGTCCAAGCTAGTCGTAGCCATGATACCAGCAGCCCTGGGACGGAGCCCTGTAATGCTGAGAATACAATGGACAGAACAGGTAAACAATAAGCATATTTCAAGGAAAATGGAGACTACAATGATACATGCAATAGGAAAAAGAAAGCTGAAATTTCTTGGGCACATAATGAGGAAAGAGGCTCTGGAGAATTTGATACTCACAGTACTTTTTTAAGAAATATAATTATGGCCAATCATCGCGTAAACTGATTAGCAAGTTTGAGTGAAAAGGACACTGTAGGTAAAGACCAACGAACGATAGGAATTTGTGGAGAGCCATGTGCGCACACGTCCTAAAAGAATATGACACGCAAAAGAAGCCACATCCTTCAGTTACTCCGACTTTATCTAGTGTCCTAAAAAAAGTTTTTTATCTAAGAGAAATAAACTACAACCAATTTCAAAATTTAATCACGTAATCCCTATTCAACATAAATAAACAGTATTTGGAACTAGTATAGTGTACATCCTCCATTCGCTAGTTTCAGTAATTTTATTCGATTTTTGATGGATTTGATCAAGTTATCAACAATCGTCTGATCCATATTTTGCCACTACTTTAGCAATGTTTCTTTAAGGGTTGCCACTGACGTGATTTTGGGTGCACGCTCTCGAAGTTTTTGGTCAAGGTGCTCCCAAACGTGTTTTATTGGATTCGTGTAAGGACTTTGGGCTACCCATGGCAGTGACTTGATTCCTTGCGATTCCTTCCAGGCCTTTTCTACTTTACTCATATGGCAAGGCGCTCCATCTTCTTGATAAAGGTAGACATTCTTGTCAATCTGATTGGTTTCAAATAGTGGGAGTAGTCCTTTTTCTAATATTTGACAGGACATTCAGAGTTTCAAATCTCATTCAGATTTCTCCAAACATAAACCTGTCTCGAATTGCAATGTTCGAAGAATTTGCTTTCATCTGACCAAATGACAGTCTACCAAAATTCATAATCTTTGTTCTCGAATTCTCTCGCCCAGTCCGTACGCCTGTTACTGTTAACCTCTGAAATCAAGGGCTTCTTTCTTGCAACTCTTCTTCGATAGCCTAGCTCTTTCACAGTCTTTCTCACTGTATATGGCGACATTTCCATGCTGTTGGCGATATATTTGATGCTCTGACAACTGTTTCTGATGACTTCCTTCCTCAGCACCCTTTTTGTTCACTCAGACACGATGCTTGGTCTTCCTGAACGTTGTTCCACACGACAATGGCCTTCATTAAATTTCTTGACAATAGTATCAAGCGTTTGATGATTAACCTGGAAAAACCTAGCAATCTCTGTATTTGACTTGCCACACGGAGGTTGCAGGGGCTGCGGGCAATTTTTGTTCCTGGCCCGTGTGTACGCGCTCGGGAACCTACCTTAAAAATTGACCTTGTGTCTTAGTTGGGAGACAGAGTAAATACCAAGTGACAACCAGAGAGTTTTAAGCAAAGCGTTAACAAAACGGACACTTATACTTAGAATCAGAATGTGAAATTAGTAATTTCTGAGACCAGAAAGAGGACTTGGAGATATCGACAGTCACAGGACATATCGAAGGCAAGAGAGATAAAGTACTGACTAGTTAATGCGAATGGATGGCTGAAAGGGGAGTGGAAGAGATTGTAAAAAGACAGACATTACTAAGAGCTACAAAGTATAGGACTTAATAGATAGCCATGATCGCCCACGTCCGGAAAGAAAACGTCACATAGAAGAGAATGATACGGTAAAACTAGCGTATTTTCTTCTTTAAATTAAAGAGAGTGGTGAATTATTTTTATTACTGTCTTGTTATTCACATATAAAATCTTTAAAATAAACTTTATGACGACGGCTTAAAATCTTGTTTTTTTTTTTGTTTTTTTTTAATATTTTATTTTTTTCTTTTTTTTTCTTGATTACTGCGATCTTAAGCAAACCTCTCACTCCTTTGGATCTTATTACGTTCTTAAATTTATTAAGCTCATAACATATTCTTAAAGAGACCAAAACAAACCCTGAATCGCAATTCTACAGTAACATAGTAGAGTATTTCAGTTCGCATTGCTCCGCTTAAATATTGCTCTCTGTTAATATTTCAGCTTCTTATTTGGAATTTCCTGCCATTTGAGGTGTATTACAAATACACAAATAGAATCTCATAAATCTAATCGGTTCAAATAAACACACATACATATACACATATACATACAACATATATATATATATATATATATATATATATATATATATATATATATATATATATATATGAACGTATAAACATCTCTTTCTATCATACTTAATATTGAGGAGGGAGGGGGTAAGGATCAGACATTGAGCTATTTGATCGGTCAACTCAATGGAAATGATATGTTGAAAGGGAAGGAGAGAAAAAAAAAAAAAAAAAAAGGGGTGAAGTAAAGAGAAAGAAGATGTATTTAGGGTTTTCGGAGGATTTTAACGTTTGATAGTAA